AGAGAGAGAGAGTTACCACTGGAGTCCTTTGTGGGGACATTGGTAGCCATGAAGAAAACAAGTCTCTCACATTGGAGTTGGAGGGTTGCCATCCAATGCTTGGCTCCAAAGGCAAGCCCACTGTTAACAACTGTTCTATACAAGCTGTGCACCGCCACCTTGTTGCACTCTATGTGTTCCACCCATGTTACCTATCACCATTGGATCCTCTATTGCTCAATAATAATACTTCATAATAGACTCTCTCTCTCTCTAACTCTCTCATGAAAGAACATGAGAACGCGTAGCTTGAGAAGAAATTATTCCTCCTATCATTTCCCTCTCTTTCTCTTTCAATGGAGAGAGAGAGAGAATAGTGACTTGGTAATTGGTAAGAGAGAGGGAAACGACTTGGTAGTTGGTGAGTGACACAGAGAGAGAGAGAGTTGGTGTTACTTCTTTACCCTTGAATGGCTGTTAGATTTGTCTATAAGAGAGAGAGAGTAATGGCTTGGTGGTGAGGAAGAGAGAGAAACAATTTTGGTGCTACTTTTTTGCCTTTGTGTGGCCGTTACAATTGTCTTATATGACAGAGATGACGTAGTAGTGAGGAAGAGAGAGAAAACAGTTAATATCGACGCAAGAACACTTAAACTTATCGAGAGATATGTATCATGCAAATACATAATCCATAAATGTCTATCCGATAACACTGCTTGTTTGCCTTTTTGTGGCCGTTACAATTGTCTCGTACGAGAGAGTGAAACAGAGACAGATGGTGCTACTTGTTGGGGAGAGAGGGATTGGTGCTACTTGTTTAGAGAGAGATGGCTTGGTAGTTGGTGCCATTTGTTTAGAGAGAGAAAGAGAGATGGTGCTACTTGTTGGAGAGAGAGGACTTGGTAGTTGGTGATATTTGTTCACAGAGAGAGAGAGAGATAATTGTTAGAGAGAGAATGGTGCTACTTAGAGAGAGATGGCTTGGTAGTTGGTACTATTTGTTTAGAGAGAGATGGTGCTACTTGTTAGAGATTGGTAGTTGGTGCTATTTGTTTAGAGAGAGAAAGAGAGAGATGGTGCTATTTGTTTAGAGAGAGATGGTGCTATTTGTTAGAGAGAGAGAGAGAGAGAGAGAGAGAGAGAGAGAGATTGGTTTACCTTTGAGTGGCCATTGGATTTGTCTTGTATGAGGCAGCCTGAGGCCCTTTTCCTGCACTTATCAAAAGAAGCATCGATGGTGTCTATGGAGACATCGAGTATGGCCCATGTATCCTCACTCTCTTTTCTGCAATGCCTCACAAAATACACCTCCCTTGTGCCCACCAATGGTGTCAACATTTGTACCTCTGCAAACATCTGATTTATGTACCAAATGGTTAGCTTTTAGAGAGAGAGAGAGAGAGAGTACAAATGGGTTATCTTCGAGAGAGAGAGAGAGATTGTGCTATTTGTCCGTTGCTTTGTTAATTTAATAATGGTTTTTTTCCTAAGGTTTTTGTGTTCATTAGAGAGCCCAGCGTTCGATTGAATAAACCGACTTCGGAACCTGGCCATGGGCTGGGTCCGAGTAACCTGGAAACCCTAACCGGGCAGGTCCGAATTGGGTTAAGAAGTGTTAAAATATTTTAGAAAAATCAAAGAATCCCAAAACATGTGAAAAGTATGTGTAAAATGTAATTAAACAAAGTACATCCAAATGAGATTAAAAAAAGTGAGGAAATGGATTTTGAAAATTCAATTTGTGCCGAGCGTCATTTTAGGAATAATAAAAAAAGATAGAAAAATATAAAATAAGTATTTATGATCAATAAACTTCCTAATCTTTTTCAAAACAATAGAAAACACTAAAAAATTCTATTACAAATAAATTTCCTATTTTTTTTGAATTTTAATATTTTTTTGAATATTTTTTTATTGGTAAAGCCAGTTGACCACCATAACTGGGCACAACTAGTGGCCAATTCCGGATAACCTGGCCCGATCTGGGTTGACCTGGCCAGCTTTGCAAACAGAGAGAGCCAAAGATAGTCTAAGGACATATATGATGTTAGAGAGAGATCCGAATTTATTTTTGGAAGGGCTCCTCTCTCTAGAGATGGGCCCTAACAAAAATTATTTATTTTATTTTTATTTTAATTTCACTCATTGTAGTCTTGAAATAAAATTCATTGCTCTTCTCAATATAGAGAGTATATATTCTAGTGAGAGAGAGTATACTAGTGACAAATGAGAGAGAGAATGTACTGTGTGTGAGAGAGTGTACTCTAATGACAAATAAGAGAGAGAGAGAGAGGGAGGTGCTATTTGTTAGTTGTTTGAAAGATGTTCCCTTGAATAGAATATCCATAAAATACTTACTGCTTACCAATTGAATTGCACCATTCTTTGTGCTACCTTCTCCACTACTTACAACATCAACAGTTGCTGCTTTGGATATCATGCCTGAAAACATTTCCTTCCATTGATTCTAGAGAGAGAAACCAAAAGAAAGAGACAGAGATTAACCATCAAAATCACTAACTAGATTGTCCTCCCTCAAGAGAGAAAAGGAACCAACCAGCAAAGCAAATACAAAGAGAGAGATTAATCAAAGTCATCATCACAATTATACTTCCTGATTAGAGCCCTGATTAGAGAATGTGAGAAAGAAATCAAGAGAGGTAGAGAGAGAGAGGGCCTAAACAATACGCGTTGCAAAAATTCATTGGAAGAAGTTGTTTCGATGGCAAAAAAAAAAAACCCTTAAATCCGATCATCTGGACCTTAAGATACATGGATGTAAAAACATTGGAATTCAAGACTTGGAAATAGTGCATCTTGTAATGCATTATATAGACGTCAATTTTTAAGATTTTCAAGTGTTTATAGATTTGTTTAATCTGCATTGTTTTTAAAGTTTTAAATTTTATAATTAGAATCAGCCCTTACATTTAAAACAACAAAAACCATGGGAATCTTATCTTATTTAGCAAATTCCATTGTTTATTGATAAATTTAAAGAAAAATCCTGTTTCATTATTGGAATTAAAAAAATAATACTATATATTTCATATTTTATACTTAAATCCTACTTTTGAAAACATATAATGTATTTTAATTTTATCTTTCTTTTTTTGTTTTTGTTTTTTTTTGTTTTAGACATTGGATTATGCTCAAACTTGATGTCATTACTTTCCACTATTACACACTTATAAAAAAAATATTTAAAACTAATTTAAAAAAATTAAAATTACCAAAATATTATTTTAATATTGTATGCTGTCATTTCTTAAACTATTAAAGAAAAAGTATGAAAGAAGGATTTATGTAATTTTTTATTTTCCTTAACTTTTTTATCATTATCATTTTGCCATATTGCATGTTCACTCGATTTGGTCACCAATCCGGTCGATCAACATTCAAGCAATCTAGACAGAAATGTATGAGTGGATTGTTCACCCCACTTATCTAAACTAAATTGAACTGCATTAATTCCAATAGCAAATGTGAAACAAATAAAAAAAAAAAAAGTGATGAGAGATAAAAACTACAATAATCAATTAGAGAATAACCACATGGTAAGAAAAGACATAAAAACGAGGATGCAAGAGAAATTGTACCACATCCATGAAGGCTTGCACTAGGCTTGGCAATTCCATGAACACAACACCTGACTCCCTTGAGGCCTCCACTGATCTTCTCTCTCTATCTTCACTTGAATTTTCATTTGATGGAAATTCCTTCAAATATTCATCATAATTCAAAATATCTCTTCCAGTTTCAAAGCTCCTAACCCATAAGGGTTCCCCTTTGGTGGCCATCTTTATGAGCTCAGACATAGCATTATTCACAGTTTTACCAATTTTTGATTTTTCGAGCCTGAAAAACCCTGTGTAATAATCTTGAGAGAGAATCGCTCTCTCCGGCTCAGTTCCGCCGGAGCACGATGAGCTTGGTGATGCGGTCTCATTCGGGAATTTTCCGGCCAATCTCCTTAGTTTGTCTACCTGTGAGTGTAAGATGTATTTGTATAGTGAGATAAGATGGAGAATGTCTTGCATTGCTCTATGTGTGTGTAAAAAATGCATATGCATTGGCATACATTACTCTCTCTCTCTCTCGAATAATTATAAATAAAATCTCTCACGAATACCTATAAAAAGAAAAAAAATTATTTAAGGTAGCAATTTTATACTGTTGAAGTAAGGCGCATCTCAAAAATCCTCTAGAAGAAAGTGTTCTGCCATTCAAGAGCCATACAATTGATTATCTTGACTTTAGGATGTGTGCATATGGGAAAAACAAAAGAATTTCAAGTGCTAAAAATAATGCATCATGTAACAAGTTATATGGATTGTTTATTTTCAAGGTTTTCAAGAATTTATAAAATATGATCGGTTTTTAAAATTTTTGAAATTTTAAAAATAATATTAAAAAAGGAGAAAATAAAAATAAAAAATAAAAAATATACTATTTTATATGTGCCAAAAATTCATAATTTCCTGATATTAAACCATGACACCCCTGCCTAAAAACTCATTCTCTTTCTTTATTGAAAATACTCTTTTAGTGATTCTAAAATGAAATCCCATAATTATTCTAAAGTGGATCTCAAAATTAACAAAAACTAGAAAATTACCCTAAGCAGGTCTTTTGCCCGAGGGAGTTTGAATACAGTGTGCTTCTATGGGAACACGTTCATTGTTTTGTTGGATTATGAATGTGCATACCTCGACTTTGAGACGTGCATTTTCGATCCGAAGCTGCTGCTCCTCGGTGGTGATTACAGTGTCTCGACTTCCTGTTGCAAAGCCGCAATTTGGACATGCGCCTTTCTTTATGATCTCTCTCATTTTCCTATTCTCTTCTTTCAATTTCTCCATCTCTGTCTTCAACAGTGAATTCTCATGCCGTTCTTGGATGGCCTAGAGAGAGAGAGGGGCTTATATTTGTTGTTTGTTTGAGAGAGAGAGAGTGAATGGTTTATATATTTGATGTTTGTTTGATGAAAAATTAGATAATTTGATGTATGCCATTTTTCCCACAAATTTTTTTTTTTTTTTGTTTGGGTTTTTTAGCACAGTCAATGGCCGACAGTAAATTATGACCTCTTGTACTCAAAGTAAATAGTTACTGTTCCAAACCAACCCTTTTGATCAAAATTAAAAAATAGAACTTAATGGAAGAAAACAACCCTATTAACCTGGGGCCATTTTTTAACATGAAGGCTGCATCATTTAGTGAACAATCATCTTCATCATCACCATTTATCCCAACTCATTTAGTGAACCATAAGACTCATTAATGAAAGTATATTAGATGAATTACCAAAAAAAAAAAAGGAAAAAAATGAGTCTGACTTGATCAGCTTCACGAATATTTGAGAGGTATTTTGGTCATTCTTAAATTTTACAAAATTTTCAAATATGGAGCTTCTTTGTTGGTTCAGACTAAAAGGGGTCAAATTTTATTGAAAAACAAATACATTAGACTTTAATCTTGGGTTTTACCTTGATTTGGGTCCTGCGGTTTTGGAACCAAAATTTGACTTGCCTTGGGGCTAGGCCTAATTGCTTGCTTAGTTGCTGCCTTTGCTTCTCATCAGGGTGTGGAGAGTCTTTGAAAAGCCTGAAATCAGAAGTCAATCCAAATGTTTAAATTTTTATAAATGGCTAAAATGCCAATCAAATCAGAAGGCCTCAATGTTGACTGCTGGCAACCTTTTAGATAAGATAAAGTATGTAATGAAATTGTTTACTTTTAGTACAAAAAGATTGCAATCACTATTAGTTGTATGATGTTAAATCACACAGTTGGAGATGTGCCATCGAGGTCAAACGAACTTTGTCTTGAACTTTGTGATACGCCTTCACGTGTCGTATTTCAGATCTATCAGATAAATATGATCATAACCGCCTTATGGCAAAAATAAATGGTCTTATAGTGTACAATCCTTTGATCTTATAACAAACCCCTCTTAGGCCATGAACTACATAATTTATCCATGAGGTGACAACCAAATTATATCTATTTCCTTTTTTTTTGGTTAGGCAATAAAAATAATTTCTAAGAGGCACATGGTTTCAAAAAAGGAGTGGATATGGTGGCCAATTTAAATGGATCAGGCCTTGTCTGCTCGAATATATTCCTTGTACCAGATCTTGTACCCTCACATACTGTCTTGGTCAGGTATAAGAGATTTTGAGGTTCATAATAACCACTATGTTGAACAATTATTTTTAAAAAATAAAAAAGTTATCAAAATACACTTAAAGTTGAACTATTTAACATTTTACCTTAGGTGTAATTCGAAAAAATTCAAAACCAGTTTTGGTGGGTCATTTGATGGGCTATTTAAAATTTTATGAAAAGAATGATGGATATTTGAAATAAGATCATGAAATATAGGTAAGATGTTAAATAGTTCACATTTTAGGTGTAGTTAGTTATATTTTCTAAAAATAATCATGTTCTATTTCTAATTTAAATGCCAATATTTTATATGCTATTAGATCTTAGATGAACCAATGGCAATTTATACAATTGCTAAAATACCCTTGTATCTCACACCCAACCCCTCAAATCTCTTTAGTATTTAAAAAATGCCCTAGAACCTTTTGAGCTTTTGTAAAAATGAAAAAAATGTGTATAGGTTCCTACATTTTATTTATGAACAAGTATAGCATTTTCTTGTAACAACATACTATACAACAACTCCCTCAGGAAATATAGCTACTTGGGAGATTTTTTTTTTATTCAAAGTTTTTACGAATCATCTAAGTACTACTAGATGCTTAGTCCCAAAGAGAGATGATAGTCACAAAGAGAAAAACTTTGGATGTTTAGTTCTTAAACATCTAGATTTTTTCTTAAAAATATATTATGGTTCATGTGCAATAATACGGTGTATTGTTTTAGGTACTTAGAGAGTGAGTGTTAAACTCTTTTTCTTTGATGGCTAGATTCTAGATATCACACCCCTCATTTAGGATCTAAAAAACCACTCATAGCACAAGTTTTGCCTGAGGGAGTTGATGGACAATATACTCCCCCCCCCCCCCCCCCCGGAAGAAAAAAAAACTTTTGGCTTTATCCAATGCCACAAGTTTGCTTTTTCCCAAATTCTTTTTTCAAAAAATTAAATACAACAATGACCTTATCATCAAGGGCCATCGACCTTCTTGTACTTTAATTATAGACCATAATGCCCTTGTACCAAACTCACCAGACTTGATGATGGAGTAAAAAGGCAATAAAGCTTTAACAAGGGTGGAAGGTAGAAAGCAACGACATACAATTTAATGAGGCTGTTTATGATGGGAAAATGTGAAGAACTCCCATGTCTTTTTGCCCATAAAAGTTATAAATAACAAAAATTAATGATAATACTAACATTTCCAAATTAACAAAGCCATCGTTTTATGGATAAGTTAAAAGGAAAATAGTTCGATAGGGCTGCGGCCCTATCAAAATAAGTAAACCCTCACTTCATAATTCATCAAAAATTGTAATTCAAGTGTTAAAAAACTTTTAATTGATCATCTCAACTTGAACATTATGGTTGTGCAAAAAACTTAGGATTTTAAATTCTAAAAATAGTGTATATTGCATCTAATCATCTAGGCCATCTATGTCTCCTAAATAAGTGTTTACATATCCACAAAATCTATACCATTTTTTGAGTTTCAAATTTTATTGTTGGTATTGGAAATTAATTTTAGAGCCATCATAGAGATTTTTAATGATCCATATGAGGATTTAAGATAATCTTTTATTTTGTTTTCATAAAACCTAGCCCGTTCATCCCTAAGATAAAACCAATAAAAATATGGTGCACAGTAAAACATAATAAATAATAATAAAAATAAAAAATAGGGATAAATAAACAAGAATTATAGTGCTAAGAATAATTAAGGAAAAAATTTTAAAGCTCTTCCTTGTTCCTTTGTTGCTTATCATTTGAGTCAATTTGTTTTGTAAAAGTTAAAACATGAGAGTGAATTTATTTCTCGATATAGTAAAAGATGGGGTGGGGGAGGAGAGAGAGAGAGAGCATGAAAGTGAATTCATCTATGCTTCATGTTTCCATCTTTTTAAGAGAGAGAGAGAGAGAGAGAGAGAAGACTCTACACTTACGCTTCCATCTCTCTAATTTGCTCAGCTGTGTGCCTATGGTACTTCTTCCTCTTCCTCTTCTTCTTCCCCCCCTCCTCCTCCTCCTCCTCTTCCTCTTCCTCTTCCTCCTCCTCCTCCATGTCCGCGTTCTCACTGCTCATCTCTGCTTCCTCTCCAGCCTCCTCCCTTACCTCTCTCTCTCTAAAAACCCCCGCCTGCACCAAGACTCAAATCAATTTTAAGCCTAAAAAACCACAAAAGAACATAATCACACACAATAATAAAAACCCAAAAAAAAGTGGGCAAAGAATCTACTTACTAAAGTTAGAGACAAGGCCGGAGAGCTGAAGAAGTCTTTAGTGCGAGAAACAGCGGTGTTTTCCATAGCATGGTCACTACTTTCAGGCATTTTGGCCGGAAAAAGCCTTGGTTGAGGGGGAGGAAGTGGCTTGTGCGATTTAAGGGGCATTGAGATATAGTAGTACAAAGTGGGGTCTTAGATTTAAGGATATAAAACAAAGGAAATTGCAGCTTTTAGAGAGAGAGAGAGAGAATGAAGGGTTTAGTGAGAGAGAAAGGACGACGATGAAAGGTGTCTAGAGAGAGAATGTGAATTAAGGTTTTAGTGAGAGAGAAAGGATGAGGATTGAAGGTGTCTAGAGAGAGAATGTGAATGGAAGCTTTTTGTGAGAGAGACAGAATGAGGATTGGAGCAGAGAGAGAGAGGGGAGGCTTTTAAAGTGAGAAACGTGCAATGTAAGTATATGTTTTCCAGGTGCATATGATTTTTGAGCTGGTAGGTGTTGAATGGCAGATAATATCATATGCTATTTTCTCAGCCACCTCCATTACTATGGTTTCTTATTTTTCTCTCTCTACAACTCTTTATAAGTTATAAAGTATTTAGTGTCCTTTAAGAAGTGTCTGCTTTTTTGCTTTGGTTTGCCTGCGTATGTTTACCTAGACTTACTTCAGCCTTTCTCTCTCTAGACTATGTTTACCTTGACCTACTCCAGCTTCTCTCTCTCTAGACCATGCTTTCTCCAGCCTTTCTCTCTCTAGACTATGTTTACCTGGACTTACTCCATCCTTCTCTCTCGTAAGTCTTAACCATGTTCACCTAAGCTTGCTCCAGCCTTTCTCTCTCTAGACTATGTTTACCTATACCTACTCCACCCTCTCTCTCTAGACTATGTTTACCTTGACCTGCACCAGCCTCTCTCTAGACTATGTTTACGTGGATTTAATCCGGCCTTCTCACTCTTAACTGTTTACCTAAACTTGCTCGGGCCTTTCTCTCTCTAGACCATATTTACCTGGACTTTCTCTAGCCTTTCTCTTTCTAGACATGTTTAAGTGAACATACTCCAGCCTTTCTCTCTCTAGCTGTTGGTTTGGCGTAAGGCTTGGCTTGGGTCGATGCAAGCATGTCTGGTACATACGTGAGAGAAATTAATATCTCCTCCTATATAAAAAAATCTCTCTCTCCCTATTTTTCTCTCTCTTCATTTTTATAACATCATTCTCCCTCTAATTATAAGGACACCGAAATGCATATTAGCATTTAACACAGACAGGATTGAAAAATGTCAATCTAAAAAATTAACTCTTAAGATAGTTCAAATTCATACATTAGTTTGAAAAAAGGAGTGATACCGAGAACTTTTATGAAGAGGTTTTAAGGGGAAAGGGTAACAAGTGCCTAAGTATCTAAAGGATTAAATAAGAATGTCGTGTCCTTAATGTGTTGAAATACATAAAACAAAAAAAGTTATAGATTTGAGTTTCCATGTTGCATATTGGGTATGCGTGCCATTAACATGTTACTAGTTTTTTTATGAACCTTGTGTCTTACAAATTATTTATTCCTTTTTCTTTGTTTTCTCGTCTAATTGTATTGTTATTTTTTTACAAAATTATCAAATTTTATTAAAAGAGGAAAATTACAATAGAAAAATTACATCATTAGCCATGACCAAAGATTACAAAGCAACACCCTTTTCGCAAGAGAAACAACGATATCATTTGTTTACCTGTAGACATGGCGGAAAGAAACCGTCAAATTTAATACTTGAAGCCAAATCAATTTCAATTGACATTTTTTGCACCATCTAATAATATTTAAAGAATCTCCATCAATGGAATAAAAGGAACCTGTATTTCTAATTTTAAAAATTCTCAAGAGAAGGGCTAAGAACTCAACATGATTGGAGTGTTGACACTACAGGACCTGGATGCATGAAAATGACATTTCTATATCAATCTCTAACCGCACCATCATAACCTACCTGACATTTTCATGTCAATCTGTAATCACACCCCCAATACTATATGAACTCCCATCAAAATTAAGCTTGAAACATCTTTGCTTAGGCAGTAAGAATCTACATCGCGGCCAAACTTTCACAACACCAAATTTAAAAAGATTTGGATAATTGAGCATCACATCTATTTCAAACATACCCTAACCTTCCTTTGAATCAGACAACCAACACCATAATGAAAGCTTTATATTGTTAATTTGTTTATCAAAAAAGCAGCTCCTCTCCTTCAAAGGTCCCACGATTTCGTTTTTTCTAAATTTTCCAAATAACCGTACCACATCTGAAAATTTTCCAAATAACCATACCACCTTTGAAAATTTTCCAAATAATCGTAGCACGTTTGGAATAAAATGTGGCCAATAATGTCTAGCACATTTTGTGGCAAGGCCAGCCTTATCCCCATAAGGCTAAAACACCAGTACTAAATTCTAGAGACAAAAGAAACAATGAATAAACGTGTACCCATGGTTCCTCATATTCTTTACACATTAAGCATAAATTAATAAGAATATTGCCTCTCTTAATTAAGTTATCAACAATAACGATCTTATCTTGAGCAGTCGGCCAAATAAAGACCTGTACTTTGCGGGGTATGGGCCATTTCCGAACTTGAGTCACTAAAGGTAACGACTTGTGTTTCTTATCATGGAAGAGCATTCTATAAGCAGACTTCACCGTGTATTGTCGGTCACTTTCTACCTCCCACACTAACTCATCTTCCATAATTAGAGGAATATACACATTCTCGAACTCATGCAGAATATTCATTAACGGAAGATAAAGATCATTTTGCAATCGGTTATAGGGAAAATTGATGTTCGAACTTGCTTTATTGCTCTGAATTTCAAACAACTCAGAAACTCTAGCATTTGGTTGTGAAACTTTATCAAAACAAAGTGTGGATGGGTATTTTTTCAAGGCTTATCCCCCAACAACTTATGGTGCCAAAATGAGATTAGATTACCCAACACAACACACCAATGGACATTTTGTTCAACTAGTTGCTTGTAGGCATATATTGCCTTCTACAAAGAAAAAATGTTTGCCCTTCCACTACCTTTTGCTATCCACATCTCTTGCCTATCTAAACCATATTTTGTGATTAGAACTCGGCACCATAGCTGAAGGCTTCTCCACCACGACTTACCAAGGAGCATCTTATTCATAAGCAAAATCTTCGTCATTACTAATTATCAAAGCAGTAAGAGTATGAACTCCTCGTCTAACTAGAAACTATAAATGTATCTCTTGATGTTTGTCGTAAAAAATGGGTCGGGGCCCTCTCCCCCATTGAATTGCCCAAAAAAAAAAAAAAATTGTAAGGACAAAAATAAGTGTATTAGCATTTCACAATGTTACACGTATCAGAAATGTCAATTTCAAAATTAATTTTTGAGATATGATATAGTTATGTATCATTTAGATAAAAAGGGAGGTGAGATTTAAAATGATATTGAAATATTTTTGTACTGAGATTTCAACATTTCAACCAACGAGGTTAACAATGTCTATAGTTCTAAAGTGTCTAATATTTTGGTGTGTTAACCAATACTAAAGACCAGAAACACGAGCCCATATTAATAAAACTTGACGATCTTCACTTTAAAAAGATATCTTCCTCATAGTTTAGACCAATGTTGTCAGATTTGCTTCAAGGTTATCTTCGGTTTAGTGAGAAAAATGAAGCAATTAGGTGCTTCGGCTGATAGATTTTTTTTAATTTAATATAAATAAATTAGATATTTATATGTAGAAAACTATAAAAATAATGAAAAAATTAAAAATAAAAATTTCAAAAATTAAAAATTTAAAAAATACTTATATATAGTATTTCTTTGCTCGGGCCAAAGAGGCTAAAGTTTCGGCCGAATCCGCCTGAAGCATGCTTGAATCTAATCGAAGCGGTAGCAACAATTTATAAAAATAATTAAAAATCAGAAAAATAAAAATAGTTTTATATAGATATTTTTTTAGTTAGGCCGAAGAGGCTGAAGCTTCGGAATCTGCACAAAGCAGATCCTAATCTAACCGAAGCATCCCGAATCTGATAAAAGCGGTAATATCAGGCTTCTCTTCGCTTCGGTCTAGGCCTAATCTGAAAGCTTCGGCCTATTCGGCTGAAGCGAAGCGGATTTGACAAAACTTGTTTAGACTAGTGTTTTAAAACCCTACAATCCAAATTACAATTGCCGATTTTGATAAGATTCGGTGGATAGGTTATCCGAGGCTCCCCCACGCCACGCGTCGCCCCTAGAATCACCTGAAACTGACATTTTGTTATTTTTTTGCCGATTTTTCACCGATTCAGCCGATTTGGTTTGGCAATTTGGCCCATCCATTTAGGTACATGTTGTGGGTGATACAAATACTAATTCTAAGTTTTAAAATACTACTTTAAAATTTGACATAAATTTTTACCAAATCCATAAGTTGCTCTTGAGTGCTTCGACATTTGCTTGTTGCACAAATTAAAATTACTCATATTAAAAACTTATTGCTTGTTTGGCTGGTCAGGCTTAGGTTGGTTTCTGTTTTGGTTCCTAAGACAATGATTTAAGGGAAAATATCTCCATATTTCATATGTTTAGGATTCATTTCACAATAGACTAAGGTTTTAAAAGATATCTTGCGTCATACAAATTATATATTTTATTTCTTCTAACCCCCTGAGCTAATTTAAACCTGTTTTTTTTAGGTCAAACAAATCTAAAAAGACATGCCTTTTCTAAAGCCATTCTCCTATACTTCTAGAGAAAGAGAAAGGTTTCATGGAGGTGAGAGGTTACCGAGAGGTGTTTGGAGAGACACATGAGGAGAGAGAGAGTCCGAGATGTAAGAAGAGAGAGGAAGATAGAAGTTTGGGGTATATAAGTGGAGAGAGAGAAATGATTGAGTTTTAAAAAAACATGTCTTTCTAACATTTATTTAGGTTAAAAAATAAGTTTAAAGTGGCCACGGGGTTAGAAGATATCTTTTGAAACCTTAAGTTTATCAAAAAATGAAACCTAAAAATAAGGGATATGAAAATATTTTCCCATGATTTAATTCCTATATTTGTGTCCCCCAAGGTACAAAATATCCATCTTAAAGGTGGACGCAAATGAGTAGTCCTTAAAAAAATTTTCAAACCAATGATTTAAATATTTTTTTCATAAAATTATCATTTTCAGTTTTAAAATTTAAATTAGTTTTTATATATTTGTGATCCCCGTGTTAGAGATTATACATTTTTAAAAAATTAAGTCCAAAATATATCTAAAAC